CTCGGTGGGGCTCCTCGGGGCCCTTGCCTACTTCCTCACTTACGTGGCCTCCTTCCACCTTGCCTACCTGTTCGCCATCCACATCCACGGCGGGGTGGGGGTGCGTGGGGGAGTCTTGGTGGCCCTCAAGCAGACGATGGGGGACAGCACCGTACTGAAGGTGCCCCAAGTCAGAATGAAGGCTGTCCCCATGCTCCTGCTCCTTCTCCTGGCTCTGCTGCGGCTCGCCACCCTCATCGAGAGCAATGTACTGGCCTCGTACGGCTTCGGGCTCCTCTCCAGCTGGGTCTATCTCCGTTTCTACCAGCGGCACAGTAGAGGCCGTGGAGACATGTCCGACCACTTCGCGTTTGCCACTTTCTTCCCCGAGATCTTGCAGCCTGTGGTGGGTCTGGTGGCCAACCTGGTGCACGGCATCCTGGTGAAGGTGAAGGTCTGCCGCAAGACGGTCAAACGCTACGACGTGGGTGCCCCATCGTCCATCACCATCAGCCTGCCAGGGACGGACCCCCAGGATGCCGAGAGGAGGAGGTACCGCTCACTTCTACGGGGGTAACATTTCTGGGCAGCAAGGGTTGGGTTTAAAATTCAAACACGGAGGAGTGGGGAGATTTGAGTGCAGGGTGCTAAGGTGGGGGCCATCTCCAGGAGGTCTGCTGGGGGCTGCCCTCCCTACCGCAGAGGTGGTGGAGAGCATTTCGGGGGGCTGGTGGGACAATGTCTGGCTCTTCCAAATGTGAAGTGGCGGTGGGAGCGCAGGGGAGGAGCACGGAGATCCTGGGGAAGGGGCAGGCAAGGTTTGGGGTTGGGGTCCCTACAGAAGGGGGACAGCAGCTGCCTGGGGGGGTGCAGGCCCCCCCGCTCATGGCAGCCCCGCACCCGTCATCGTGGCACGGAGGAAGGTGCTGAGTCAGCCCCACACTCCCAGCATTGGCCTTCTGCAGCCCTGGCAGGAAGGTTTGGACAACGTGCTCTGTGTTCCCCTGCCCCATTTTATGCCTTTCTTCCCCCATTCCTGGAGTGGTCCGCGTGCCGTCTGACAGCCTCCAAGTGTACCACGTGGCACAAGAACTCTGCATAGGTCAGCTGGGAGCATGAGTGGGGTTCTACAGCGTAGTCCCAGGTGTTCCAGGTCATTTCCAGTGCTGCCAAATCCATCCTTTCCTGCCCAGGAAGGGGTGGCCTCGCACAGTGCAGACCTGGGGCTAACTTGCCCATCTGCCCTTGCCCCGCAGGCAGCTGGCCCTGAAGGCCCTGAACGAACGGCTGAAGCGCGTGGAGGATCAGTCGGCCTGGCCTAGCATGGAGGATGATGAGGAGGAGGCGGGGGTGAAGGTCGACAGCCCGCTGCCACCCAACCCCGACATGTCCGGGAAGGGCGCCAGCCAGGAGTCCAGCCTCATCACCTTCCAGGATGCCCCGGCCCAGCTGTGACCTGCCGGCATGCCGCCCCCCTGCCCCGCCCCGCCTCCGCTGGCTCCCCCCATGCAGCTGGGACGCTCAACAGGGAGCAGGGACTCCTCCCGTGGCAGAGGCAGGGGGGCTACCTCATTCCAATGCTTCGTCGCCGCTCGTGGCCAGCCCCAGCCACACAGGCTGATGATGCTGCCACCACCGCAAGGACGGGGTTCCTTGAGCCACTCCCCTCGGTGCAGGGTGGGCCATGGACATTGGCACCGGCAGCAGGGGCTGTTTCGGGAGGGGGGACCTGGGGCTGATCCCTGCCCTGAGGCTGCTGCGCTTGCTCACACAGGAGTGAAGTCAGCAGCGCTTCCTCACTTCTCTGCACTGGGGGTTGGCCAGAGCACTCAACAATTATTTCCTCCTTTCTGAAGGTAGTTCTGTCCCTGAGGGAATGGGAAGGCCGGCGACTTTTTTTTTTCCAAATCCCTTTCATATGGGGAGCCTCCCCCAGCCCTGGCAGGAGCTTGCCATGACCAGTGAGAGGTTTGCCAGGTGTGGGGACCCGCCACTGGGCAGGAGGAGGCCACCTAGCCCTTCACGGCAATGGTCTGGCACTGCCAGCTCGGGGCTTTGCGTGCAGGGGTTTCTCTCCTCCTCCCTCTCCCACCCCCAAAGCCAGCCTCCCAAGGAGCCATTGCCCTCGGCCGCTCCCCAGCTAATCCGTTTGGCAGATTACACTAGAAGCTGGAATTCATTTTTACAGTGGGGCTCTCGCTGCTTCCTCTGGCAGCAGGTTTTCTTTCCTGTGAGTAGGATATGGGCTCCCCCTTCTCTTCCTCCATGGGGTTGGTTGTGGGTTTTTTTTTTTTTTTTTTTTTAATGGATGGAGAGGATGCTACCTGCAACAGCCTCCTCACAGTTCCTGATCCCCTGGGCAGTCCCCAGCCTGGGACACAGGACGATGGCGTCATGATTATTTTTTTAAAGGACCACACAAGAAGGTTTTGTCAGCCAGGGGAGAAAAAAAAAACAACACCACCACAGACATTTCAGTATCAATAAAGAGTTCTTCGAAAGAGTTGGCTCCTGCAGCAGAGCATGGGCAAGGTGGGGGGGCTGGGCACAGAGCCCTGGGGGCTCTTGTGCAGGAGCCTGGGGAGGGGATTTCTTCCTAGGTGCTCCCAGCAGGTCGGGAGAAACCCTTTGCAAGGGGGAGGAGGTGGGATGTTTGCCCACGCCCCACAAGCCCCCCCCGGGCAGTAAAGAGGGCTTGTCGCACTGTAGCTGCCTGAAATATTTATTCAATAAAAGCTCTAGATACAGAGGAATTTCGTAGCCCAGGAGCCCCTCCCAGCTCTCTGGCCCTGCCGAGAGCAGGATACATGCCAAGGAGGAGCCATGGGGCTGCTGTGGCAGTCAGAGCCCCACAGTGCCCAGCTGCCCTGGTGGTGGGCAGGCTGGAAGGAAGGCTGTTACGATGGCGAGGCAAGAGGCGAGGAGGTTGCTTTCTGCCTTCCCAAGGGCTGTTTCACAGGCTGGCTTGGGGGCTCACCCTGAGCCCTGCTCCCCCTGCCCTGCTTGCATTGTTCCCTGTGCCCCTCAGAAGGACAAAACCGCCTTCACAGGCTGCTGGTGTGCAGCCCAGCTTGGTAATTTGCTCTGTAAAACGACTCCCACCTCCTGCCAAGCTGAAGCTTTGCTGTCCTAGCCTGCAGGAAGGATTTGTGCGTGGTGATGGGTGCCCAGATCCACAGCCATCGATCGGGCAGGGCTGACAGCACCAGTCCCAGGAAGCCCCCAGGTCCCTGTGTGGGGCTGCACTGTGGGGACAGGTGCCCTGGGTGCTGCCACCCTGCTTCAGCCAGGCTGAAGCCATAACCGTGCTGTGTGCTTTCACTGGCCAAGCTGCCTTTGTGGCAGGAGGGGCAGCGCGGTGCCCGCTGCAGCCTCCCAGGTGAGCGGGGACCCCCTGCCCTCCTCACCAGGAATGTGACAGCTCCTGTCCTGCCTGCTCCAAAGCAGCCCCAGGTGGCAAGGGGAGGGAAAAGGAGCAGGAATCCTGAGTGAACCTTCCAGTTCCCAGCACTGAGCACCAGGCTGCTGTGGGAACCAGCAGCATTACCTGTACTGGGAAACGTCCCCACCGAGGCAGGGACGAGATGGGCAGCTCCTGCCCAGTCAGTGTCACACATATCATAGCCGCTCCCTGGGGACAAGACACTACAGACAATCCAGGGCTAACGAGAGACGAGTAGGTAGAAATCTAGTACCGAGGAGACCCTGTGCGAGCAGGGGACCCCGACAGGGGGGACTGCAGGGGGGAGCCCCAGCCTTGCCAGCTCACACAGGGAAAGTTCGGATTCACGACAGGCCCTCAGTGCTGGCTCCGCTTGCGGTACAGGTAAGCGTTGCTCACCTGGTTCATGATAACCAGGCTGGTGAGAAGGGGACACAGCATGGCAAGGTACCAGGAGACGCTGGTCACCGAGGCGGTGAACCACAGGGAGCACATGCCCAACATCAGGCTGGCACAGCCCAGCAGATAGCCCACCAGCCCCGAGGTGGCATGGTACAGCTTGAGCTTGGCCAGCGTCCAGTTCTTCATCAGCTTGGGGTAGAGCAGGAGCAGCCCACCTGCACACTGCCCACCGGTGTACAGCACGGTCAGCAGCCCCGTCAGGCCATGCCAGGTGACGAAGTGGGCCTTGCCGTTCAGGTGCTTGTTGTAGGTGATGACACCCAGCCCCAGGAGGGCGCAGAGGAGGGCGAGCAGCTGGAGGGCCCAGTGCACCCGCACTTTGACTTTGCGGGAGAAGGAGCGGAGCGGCGAGGTCTCCGGGGAGAAGATCAGCAGGGCTTCTGTCATCAGGAAGGAGAACTGGGAGGCAGAGGGCAGGGGGGTTGGCACCGGGCGCCACGGCCGGGGACAGAACCGGCGGCAGGTCCGCGTCTCCCGGGGCTCAGCCTCCCCCCA